TATACTTCATACGCACAACACATGTGAGACTGATACTTGCAGATTGTTCCTGGCACCAACTTCATTTATTTTTCACTGGGGCCATGTTTAAAAAGTGTCCCTTAACTTTCATAATGGGCGAAAAAAACATGGGAATACTTGGGGCATGCTTCTCCAGCTGTCCTTAGACTCTCCCGCCACCCCATTAGTATTGCAATTTCTGCTGTTTACCAAAAGATTTATATTTTTACTGGGATTGTCCCCCCCAGTAGCCACATCTTCCTATATGATCGCACGGTAGTTATAAATGCAAAAGCTCACAGCAATTACAGAATGATTTCATTGAAGTACCAGGCAGAAAATCTTGGAACATGGCAAAAAGTCATGCTTGTCCCACTATGAAAGCCCATTTTCAAGCCACACTACATTTTTTGCTAAGTTTTTAATTAAATCGGCTTTCAAAATGCAGTAAAACTAATCGTTTCTTATACAGTAGTTCCTGATTACAATACCTTAACATTTATGTTTTAAGACAGCTTTTAGAAACAGTGTATAATGTTATTTTTCAGCTATTTCTCTCATGCAGAAGTTTATCAGATCTTACATGATGTCTAAATTAATTACGTGCAGAAAATAATTGGTCTTTGGGGAATGATTATTTTGATGATAGTAGTATTTATAATTTTCAAAGTAAACTATTATCTGGGTTTAAAAAGATGGAGACAATCTGTTGACTCATTTTCAGAGTTACTGGGACAATTATTTTACCTTGCATACCAAATTAAGAAAATGTACTTTAAGCTTGCTTATTTCTCCCAGTGAAATATTTTAGAACTTAAAGGTGAAAGACAGCAGGTGATGAAAGCCCAACAGCTCCATTTTTAAAAATTTGTGATTACTGCATGTAATCTATTTCCTTGTCCTGACCTAAAACTAGTTTTACTTTGCTGTATCACACAGAGCAGGGGTCGGCAACCTTTCAGAAGCGGTGTGCCGAGTCTTCACTTATTCACTTTAACTTAAGGTTTCGCGTACCGGTAATACATTTTAACATTTTTTAGAAGGTCTCCCTCTATAAGTCTATATTATATAACTAAACTATTGTTGTATGTAAAGTAAACAAGGTTTTCAAAATGTTTAAGAAGCTTAATTTAAAATTAAATTAAAATGCTGATCTTACGCCGCCAGCCCACTACCGGCCTGGGGTTCTGTTCACCTAGTTCGGCAGCAGGCTGAGCGGGGCCTGTGGGACCCTGGCTGGCAAGGAGCCGGCAGCCAGGACCCCCAGACCAGGGGTGCAGGTGGGAATGTGGGGGGTGGTGGTAGTGCAGGAGCTCCCGTTTGGTGCTCAGGGTGTGTGGGGGTGTGTGTGGTGGGGGGGTCCAAGAGTCAGGGCATGGGGTGTGGGGGGTGCAGGAGTCAGAACAGGGGCTGGGTGTGTGTGGGGGGGGTTCAGGGGTCAGGGCAGAGGGCTGAGGTGCTCGGCTCGTGGGGGTGCTCCTGGCAGGGGGCTGGAGGGAATATGCCCCGTTCCCACACCATTTCCCAGGGCCCCGTCCCCACCTCTCTCTGCCTCCTTCCCGGAGCAGCGAGCACGCTGCGGCTCGGCTCAGCTCGGCTCCCCCTCCCCCTCGCAAGGGCGATCAGCTGATTGGCGGCACGGAGTGGGAGGGGCAGGAAAGCACCATGCTGGGGGAAGAAGCAGGGGATGGGGGAGCTTGGCTGCTGGCATGACCAAGCTTCTGCCTTCTGCCCCCGCTGGAGAAATCTGTGGGCGGAAGAGGGGGCCTGAGTGGGGCCAGGACCCTGGCAGGCAGCAGTGTGCCATCAAAAATCGGCTCGCGTGCCGTCTTTGGCATGCGTGCCACAGGTTGCTGACCCCTGACAGAGTCTCAGTTATTGGGAGCTAAGCTGTTTTTAAAAGATGCAAGTACACAGGAATTAATTCAGCCACATGTAAGACGCAGTTGTAGTGTGAAAAGTAAGTTTACAGTGGAAATGTGGAGTTCCACTTATTCTCTCAATAGCTTCCATACAAAATTTGCTTATTTTTAAAAACAACAACAACTTTTTCTAGTTGTCATCCCTACCAACTCAACATGAGATCTGAAAGTCAAACTGGGTTATTTTCTTTGCTTTGAGATCAACAGTAAAAAAATTCTGTAATTGGAATTTAGTTAACAAACACAGTGATGTACAAACCTGAAAAGAATCCCATACCGCACTGCTTTAATGAGAATACAGCTAACTAAAATAAGTAGAAAAAAAATGGTCACCCTTCACTCATGTTTAGTTCCTTATTCCATGGTAACTCCCATTGATTTCATGATCTCAGACTGGTCCCAAGAACTGCTCATAAAGAGTGGCAGAACCTGACCCTTAGATTGCAATTGTTGAAAGAGACGAGTATATGTATGAATGTATGCAGGAGGAGATCCATGAAATAGTAAGGTCCCGTTTTTGCAAATTTACTTTTCTGACTATAACTACACTTCTAAAGACACACATGCACACACACAAAAAGCAGCTAGATGGTCATTAAGTTGTTACCACCATTAAAAATTACACAACAGTTAATGGATTTTATTGCAAAGTTTAGCTGATTGTCTAATGCAATTAATACCAGAATTGGGGTTTCCCAGCAAGATGTATTCCGGCAGAATGCAGTGGCACTAATGCAGATGCTGCCAAACTGTCCAGTACTAATGGAGAAAGGGAAAAAAATGCACTAACCAAAACACATACCTACACTACCACAGGAAAAATGTTAAGTAGTATCACACTTCTCTCTTAGGTAAGATGACAGGCCATGCCCATAAGCATGCAATCACAATGGCAACAAACATCTTACTGAAAGATTAAGTGAGATTAAAAATAAATGTATTCTAATGAATGGAAATCAGAAGCTAGGAACTGTAGAAAACTGATAAGAGGAGAAAAAAAGACATAAGCAGAAATCTATGACTAGCTGAGTTAAGGAAAATGTGTGTGTATGTGTGTAAAATCTGTTAGGAACTAAAAGAATCTTGTACCAATATAATTGGTGCATTACTAGATGGAAGTGGTAAAATTGCCAAAAATGCAGAAAGCAGAAGTGTTCAATAAATATTTCTGTTCTGTATTTGGAAGAAAGCCAGACGATGTTGTCATATGATGATAATGAAATATTTTCCATTCCAACAGTAACTAAGGTGGATGTTAAACAGCAGCTACTAAAGTCAGACATTTTAAAACCAGCAGGTCCAAATAACTTGTATCCAAGAGTTCTCTAGACTGTTACTGTTGATTTTCATTAAGTCTTAGAATGCTGGCTATGTCTCAGAGCACTGGAATAAAGTTAATGCGGTGCCAATATTTTAAAAGGGTCAATGCAACAGCCTGGATAACTGTAGGCCTGTGACATCGATCCTAGGCAAAATAATGGAGTGGCTGATACAGGACTTGATTAATAAAGAATTAAAGGAGGGCAATATAATTAATGCGAATCAACACAGGTTTATTGAAAATAGATCTTGTCAAACGAATTTGATTTTTTTATGAGATTACAAGTTTGGTTGATAAAGATAATAGTGCTCATGTAATATACTTAAACTTCTGTAAAAAATTTGACTTGCTATCGAGACATTTTGAGAAAGAAACAAGAATGATACAAAAATCAACATGGAACAGATTAAATGGACTAAAAAATGTAATTGTAAATAGAGAATCATCAACAAGTAGGTGTGAATCCATTAGGGTTTTGCAGGGTTTGGTTCTTGCCTCTACACTAGTCAACATTTTTATCAATGACATGGAAGAAAATAAAATTGTTACTGACACAGTTTGCAGATAAAAAAATAGGGGAACGTATATAAAGAAGACTTGTCGCTGATACAAAGCGATCTGGATCACTTGGTAAGCTGGGAGCAAGCAA